GCCTATATTACTTAATATTCATTAACCTATTTAAAAAGCACTTTTGCTCTGTTTCAGGTAAAGTGTAAATCTGCACCTCTGATTTGTGTGATTAAATTTTCTCTGTCTTTTTCTGCCAAAGTCTGATTTATTAATGACAAACCAGTGGTAGAAGCATCATAACATCAAGAAAACTGGACAGTTAAAGGATTTTTCTTTTTACATAAAAAAGAAAAAAATGTTTGATGATCTGAAATGTTTAAGTGTGACAAACATACAAATAAATGGGAAAACGCTTTTCACACCATTGTCATATAAAAATTACTTCCTTCCTTCATTCTGTTCATTGACCCCATTGTGGACCACTAAAATTTTGTATACTATGTAGTATATACCTTATTTACTTTATTTATTAAATTTCGGGTTTGTTTCATTTTTTGCACTACATTAGACAACATCAAAATAGCGTTGTCAAAAATGACAATAGCGTTGGCATTTTTGTTATTTGTGTTTTGTAATCTTTATAAAAACCTAGAAAAAACACCTCTTAATCTTTTGTATATGGCGAAGCGCTGTGGACATCCAAGTTTGTGATTGTGTAGATTTTTCAAATCAATACCATGGTTGCATCTACTGAAAATCTCTGTGAAGCTTAAATCTCAGTGACGTTGACTTCAAGGTCAGAGGTCAACTTTTCTGAAAATCAGAGGAGTTTCACATTTATAGCACAGGTATGTCTACTAGGAGGCTGAAGGGTAGCACTATATATTTATAAACAATCAAAAACAATTATTACGCAATTTATTTCCAATTTGTATGGAATTTATTTCTGTAAACATGGTGTTTTAGGTTTGATTAGGTCTGACCTTACTATCACTGATGTGATAGTAAGGTGTCCGCTGCTCTGCTTTTCAATATTGGTAGGCTTTTTTTTCTTTTTCTTTATTTTAATTTTCACAAGAATTGCTAGTTCCCCTGGAGTTTTGGCCACCCCAACAATCAGACGATTCCCTATGAGCAAGCATTTAGCGACAGTGGGAAGGAAAAACTCCCTTTAAAAAGGAAGAAACCTT